CACAAATCTAACCTCAAAAATAAATTACGCTCCTCGCGAGCGTATAAAATATACATACGCATGTTTCGTGCAAATATTTCACATTCGAGACGTTTCATGAATTATTCCTGAACAATTCATGAAAAATAGTGTTTACTGTTTTGTTTAAATTAAAAGAAATCCATCAAACTGAATATTTTCAACAGCGGGTGCCGATCAGTTTCTGCAAACTAATAAATATTTTCATTACTCGATTGCTTTAATAATCAAGCTTAGAATTGAAATTTCATAAAAATAGTATTATTTTTGTAAAAATTAAATAATAAGTTATATTATATAGTTTTGTATTAATATATATTTCATTATTCATCTTTATAATTAAGAACATTTTGTATTTATTAGATTCTATTATGAAAGTAATATTTTTTTATTCTCTTTCTTACATAGGAACAACTAATTATGAACTGCTTCACCATTTTACGATTTAAACACTGTGCTTTAAACAAAAGTCTAATAGAGCACTGTTTTATACCATATATATCCACGTGCCAAGCCAGATTTTATGTCGCAGAAAGTGAAAATCGTTACAGACAGCGTATCAGCCCAAGGGAACGAACACAAAAGAAAGCATTGCGAATACGTTTAGTGCAAAATTTTAAACATACAAAAAGAAAAGTAGAAGAAATTATCGAAAGGGAGAATATTTGGACGATACCTAACTTGCTTTGCTTGGGTCGTATAGTAACTTCACCATTTTTAAGTTATTTGATCCTGTCGCAAGATTATCAGGTATTTTAAGGAAGCAAAAAACAAAATTTTTTTATACTTAAACCAAAAAATATCTGATTTTTAGTATTTTTTAAATCTATTAATAATATACAATCAATATAATTATTTATATATTTAATTATATAATTGTTTATTAATAATAATATTGGATCCAAAAACAAGAAAATTTAAAGAAATAAAAACTTCATTCAATAAATTTAATTACGTCAGAATAAGGATATAACATTTTGATAAAGATATGCTTGTTAAACGTATGTCATGAGTAACTTTAGAGAAAGATTGCAAAAATGCATGCAATTTTGAGATAATGATTTGAAAGATGTTATTTTCAAGGTATAATTTCTACTATCAAATCAAGCAAATAGCAATTATTTCTATATTTTGATATAATTAAAGTTGATCGAATAAAGTTTCGATCGAAAAAAGTTTTTCTTTTAACTCTTTAAATTTTCCCACAATTCTCTCCATCCTTTAGAAGAAATACAAATGTGTTGTTATCGAAAATTTATTGTATTCTCTCGATTGATTTTAATTGTTGCAACTAATATGTAACACGTTAATTTATCTTTAACAATATCTACACCATGGCACTATACAGATAGCGCTATGGTTGCTTGCATTTGCAGGATTGAGTGATTTAGCGGATGGTTGGATCGCACGCACTTGGACGTCGCAGGCTTCGAAACTTGGAAGTTTGTTGGATCCAGTCGCAGACAAGTTACTTGTCGGGACGCTCTTTCTCTCTCTGGCATGGGTCGGTTTGATACCAGTTCCACTCACTTGTCTTGTTGTTACACGTGACGTTGTTTTAGTAACCGCTGCATCTTATATTAGATACCATTCCTTACCTCCACCAGTATGTATCATATATCTATTAATTCCATTATATATTAATTTAACCGAATATTGATGATACATTAATTAAATGATTAATCTTGATGCGGTATAATTTCAGAAAACCTTAGCGAGATATTTTGATCCCACGCACGCTACTGTACAATTAGCACCGACTTTAACAAGCAAACTAAACACTGGGATACAATTGTCTCTGGTTGCTGGAACGTTGGCTGCTCCGATTTACCATTTCGTAGATCATCCGATTCTACAATGTCTATGCTATATAACAGCATTTACAACAATCGCAGGAGGTGTCAGTTATTTGTTATCAAAAGACACGTATAAATTTTTGAGGAAGAAAACTTCGACGCGGACATCATCTTAGACTTAGACCCTGTACATTATATGTTTGAATTTATTATTTAGATGATACATATTACTTCTTTTTGTATTATTATATCTATCATCTTATGTACAGAGATTAATAATTCTTTGTTAATTTTAACATTTTTTAAAAAAGAGTTACTTTTCTATAAAATCCTATATGTACAAAGTTTTATAAAGTATGATATCCAAAATGATAAACTGGGTATTTTTGTTATTAGAAAGTGAAATTTATTTAAATTATATAGAGAATAATCCGTAATCTATATATATATATATATA